GTGGAAAGTAGTATGACATTTCATACATGTAAACAATGAGTAATGATCAAATTAACTTATCAACACCATCACTTCGAGAATTTATCTTTTCTTTATTCTGAGAACATTCAAATATCCCGCCTTCTGGTTTTGTTTGTTTGTTTTTTGTTTTTTCTCACTATGTAGTACTGGCTGGCCTGGAACTCACTATGTAAACCAGGCTGGACTCAAACTCACAAAGATCTGCTTGTCTCTATCTTGCCAATGCTGGAATTAAAGGAGCTCAGCACAGTGCTGGGCTCTGTCCTCAGTGTACTATCATTGACTCTAGTCACCTGCTGAATGATACCCGAGCTTATTTGGACTATAGGAACCTATAGCTTGCGCTCTCTGTCCACTCCCTACTAGTCCCAGCTCCTAGTCATTGCCATTCTATTCTCCACTTCTTCTAGAGCAGCATTTCTTTGATTCCCAAATGAGTGGGATCATATGGTATTGTCTTTGTGCATCTGTCTCGTCTCACGAAACAGCGAGTCTTTAACAGTGCATGATTACACACACCATTTACTTCAGTCCCAGAACATACGCTATTTTCTTTGTTAAAATGTTTAGATTTAAAATAAAATTTGCATCGTTTTCCCCCTTCTCTTTCCTACCTCCAACCCCTCCCATGTATACCTCTTTTTCTTTAATTGTTGTTGTTGCTATGTATGCTCCTAAAGTTATAGATACAACCTGTTTAATCCACATAATTCTACATATATGTGTATATATGTGTGTACACATATAAATTATAAATATATATTATACATATATATGTATGTTTATGTCTACACACCCACCCACATATATACATATTAAAATTTTCAGGACTGAGTGCTCAGTATTTGATCACCAACTGTGGGGGCTCATCTCATGGTAAGACTATTTCTTGAAGACTAGCTTTCATGGTACCAGAAGATGTGATGCAAGCTTCCAAAGAGGAGGGAAGCAATCAACAGCCCCACCCAGCTATGCCTATGAACCACAACAAAATTAAAATAGCATGGTATCCTTAAGGGTGCAATATTGGCATGCATACTTTGGTAGCAAGCAATAGCTCTCTAGTTGGACGTAAGGGCCAATCAACTAGAGGGAAATCATGTGTGCCACTGGAAACCTAGTCAACTAGGTGAAGTCATGGAGCTTGGAGGTGAACCTACAACCACAATGATCCCTAACTATGTTCTAAATATTTATCCTTATACCCACATGTAAGTGGAGTCCTCACCCCTTAGTAAGGAAACTTCTCTTTGAAACAGATGGAGACCATCACAGAAAACCACAACTGATCAAAATACAGAGAGCAATTGACAGGGTGACACCCAGCCCCAATGGACATATCGACAAGGTTGGGGATAACAACAGAAGAGAGGGCAGAAAGGTTGTCAGAGCCAGAGGAAAAAGAAGTTTGCTGTAAGAATTCTAGAAATGTCAGAGAAGCTATACCCACAAAGTCTCAACAACATGACTGCCCAAACACACTGTTTTCTTAATTGTCTCTATCTGAAATGATGCTTTTGGTTCCCTTCTCTCCCCTCCCACTACAATCAAGAATGACAGGGGCAGAAACTTAGTTACTAGACCTCCCTAAGCATTAAGTACTCTTAACAAATATCCTTTAACTGTGTCTGTCTACAGCCGATAGTTAGCCACAGAGTAAGGAACCTGTTTCCTGCCCTCCATTTTACAAAGGATGAGATGCAGAATCAGAAAGATGGGGTCATTTTCTCAAGACTTGTTGCAGGCGAGTGGAGCTATAGACAAACCCCCTTTTCTGTCACCTCTATTCAAAGATGGAAAGCTCTGCAGTATTGTCTCTAAAGTAAGCAACAACCCCAAAGTATCAGTTTTATAGGCATCTCATAAACTGACTGTCCTGTTGGAAAAATAACAACTTTTCTTCTAAGAGGCAACTTTATTTGGCCACCTAGTTGTCTACTCTCTGGCTGACACTTGACGTTACCCAACCCCAGCCAAAGCACCCACTAAATATCATCATCAAAGTTAAATATTCTGCCTGTGAATCTTACCAATCTTTTTTTCCCTGCCTTAAAGATCCTTGATTCAACCCTGTCCTTAGCTTCACTTTTCTTTCTTTTAATATTTAGCTTTAAATATGTTCTATCTAGTTGCATTTGATGTGTCTTTTCAGGCTGCCTTAAATTCTCCCCAGGACAAGGTGAGCATAAATAATTAAATGGGAATACCTATGGGGTGCATTCCAGTTGTACCACTTCAAGCAGCACTAACATTTAATGTAGGTAAAATAATGAGATAAAACTTGAGTTTCAGTATTAAGAAGCCAGAGGGTAGTCATTAAAAGTGATGATCACAAAGACTATAAAACTGCAAAGTTGCTTACAGTATAATGTGATCAGAAGCTGCGTCCAAAATGCACATTAGCTCTGGCTTCAATGATCTGAAGCATGAGACTAAAAGGAAACATGATCATCCTCCATTTTATTTTATTCAGATCTGAATTGTGTAAATGAACATGGTGTAAGACAGAAATATAATACCCCATGTCATAAATCAAACTTTATGCATGCCCCCCTGTCTTCATTATAGAGAGTTCAAAACCTACACAACACAGAGTAGGGCAAAACAAGCCCCACACCCAGCACCCAACTTCAACAGTCACAGGAACCCTGCTACTCCTGTTCTTTCTCTACCTCCACCTACTCTCCACGTTTTTTGACTATTTGTTAAAATATGTATATTGTGGGGCTGGAGAGATGGCTCGGTGGCTAAGAGCACTGCCTGCTCTTCCAGAGGTCCTGAGTTCAACTCCCAACAACCACATGATGGCTCACAACCATCTCTAGTGGGATCTGATGCCCTCTTTTGGCATAAAGTTGAACATGCGGATAAAGTACTCATATACATAAATAAATAATAAAATCTTTTTTAAAAGAATTTAAAAAAATATGTATATTGTAATTCCAAACACGCATGTACTGCCTTAGCACCCCTGCAAATCACTCCTTCTATTCCAAAAGACTTGTTGGTGTCTTTTCCCACTTTTTAAAAGTCTGCCATAATAAATTCATTTTTTGTTTGTTTTGTTTTGTTTATTTGGGGACTTCATTTAAAAGGAATCATGTAGCTGTTTTTTTTTTAACTCTTTACTCTTTGGGGGCCCACCACCCAGCTCCCAAATAAATATACAGAGACTTATTCTTTCTTATGAAAACCTGGCCTTAGCTTGACTTGTTTCTAGCCAGCTTTTTTTTTTTTAACTTAAATTATCCCCTCTACCTTTTGCCTCTGAGTTTTTGACTTTCTTTATTCTGTATGTCTTTTTTTATTTCTTTCTCTGTGGGTGGCTGGCTGGCTGGCTGGGTGGCTGGGTGGCTGGCCTCTGATGTCCTTTTCTCCTCCTTTCTCCCTTGGCTCACTCCTCCCTCTTTTCTTCCCTGCCTATTTATTCTCTCTGCCTGGCAGCCCCACCTATCCCTCTCCTGCCTAGCTATTGGCTGTTCAGCTCTCCATTGGGTCAGTCAAGTGTTTTAGGCAAGCAAAGTAACACAGCTTCACAGAGCTAAACAAACACAAAATAAAATAATGCAGCATATTTTCCCATTGTTAAACAAATATTCCACAACATAAGCAAATGTAACACATCTTAAAATAATATTCCACAACAGAATCACAAAGTGTGTGCTTTATGTGTCTTTGACTAAGTGGGAAGCCTCTGATACTAATCCATCATATTACCTCTGCCTCACATAGCCAGGTTCTCTATCCTCTCAAGTAGCTCATGTTGACTTACCATCTTTTATTTCTTAAAATTTGAGAGAGAGAGGAGGAGAGAAAGAAAAGAGAATGAATTTATTTTTTGGGGGGGTGGGTAGGTCCAAGACTTTTTTTATTTTATTAAGAGAAATTTTTCATTCATTTTACACACCAATCAAAGACTCCCCTCTTCCCTTCTCCTGCTCACCCCAGCCTCCCTCTCCCAACCCACCTCCCACCTCACCCCCCACCCCCATCCCCACACAAGAAGGCAAGAGGCCTCCTATAGGGAGGCACATCTAGTAGAGGCAAGTCCAAGCCCTTCCCCCTGCCCCAAGGCTGTACGAGGTGTCCCATCATAGGCAGTGGGCTCCAAAAGGCCTGCTCACACACCAGGGACAAATTCTGATCCTACTGCCAGCCGCCCCCCGCCCCCCCGCAAGTAGATCAAGCTACACAATTGTCTTGCCATGCAGAGGGCCTAGTCCAGTCCTGTGTAGGCTCCACAGCCATTGATTCAACTTTCATTAGCTCCCACTAGTTTGGTTTGGTCATCTCTGCAGGTTTCCCCATCATGATCCTGATGCACTTGCTCATAGAATCCCTCTTCTCTCTCTCTGACTGGACTCCTGGAGCTCTGCTTGGTGTTTGGCTATGAATCTCTGCATCTGCTTCCATTAGTTATTGGAGAGAAGCTCTGTGATGACAGTTAGGATATTCACTGGTCTGATCACTGGGGTAAGCCAGTTCAGTTCAGGTACCATCTCCATCAAGACTATTCTTGTGCCACATATGGCAAGTTGAGTTTTTCAAAGACTTTCAGTTTTATTTACATAACTAAATTTGCTGAGGTAAAGTCAATCTCTCGGTGATGCTTTTGGTTGTTAGCATAGCTCTACACCCCATATTGATTGTTCCCTGTTCATCATTGCTGATACTAATAATTTGTAATTTCTCTCTCTCTTTTTTTTTTTCTGAATCAACCTTGTGACACATCAGACTCCCAATCTTTTCAAAGAACTAACTTTTCAGTCCTGTGTGGTAGAACATACTCAAAACTACATCTCTTGGGAGACAGAGGCAGAAAGATCCATGCAAGTTTGAGGCCAGATAGACATACCTATCAAGACCTTATCTCAAAACAAACAAACAAAATCCAACAACAACAAAATTCTTCTAACTTTTGGTTTTGTTAATTGTTTATTTTGTTCCGTTTTCTTTTTGCTCAATTGTTTCTTTGCATTTGTTTTCTCCTGGGATCCACCCCAACCCCTCTGGTGATTCTAAGACTCAAACCAAGGGCTTCACACATGCTAAACACATGGTCCACCACCGAGCTGCTTCCTCTGCCCTTAGTCAGCATCTGAACTCTGAAAGCACAAATTTAGGTCTTTGTGTTTAAAGTTTTCTTTATGTGGTAATGTAAGCATTCGAAGATATAGGTTTCCATCAAGAAAGACCTGTAAGGGAGAGAAAAGGAGAAAGGCACAAAGTCCTTAGACAAGCAAAGGGGCATGACACTCCATGATGGGAAAAAGACCAAGCATGGGCTGGTGGTGGAATCCTCCCTCTGATACAAAATGAGGAAGTGGGACATGAATAAAATGAAAGAGACTATTTGCAGAGGGGAGTCTAGGAATCTTACTTTTTATGATTTACATTCCTCAACAAGCAGGAGAAGACATCATCAACTGAATACTTTGGAGAGGAGAGAGTGGGGAGGGTGTGAAGCAGAAGGAAAGCCTGGAACAGTTACACCAGAGTGTGAGGAAAGAGGTTTCACAGAGAAGGTGACAGGTGTGTCAGCTCATATGAGGATCTGGGTTGTGATTTTTTTTCAAGCCAGCCTTTTAATCTGTGGTGTGATTTTTCTACCTAAAACCATGAAGTTCAGCTGTTTGAATGCAGACAGTGGAGAAAGCAGACAGGTGGCTTCAGCAAGGGCTAGGTCACCAAGCACCATGAGATTGGAGAAGAGAAATATACATTGAAGGAAATTGTAAAATTCATTCTGATTCTTTGCACGCAGCCCTTAGGATACCTGCATTCTCCACACTGGTACGATTTGGGTGCTAGTATGTTGAATGATGGCTGGCTATTTTTAAGTAGCTTCAGGATGGGAGCAAGTCACCAGGAAACCAAGGCAGACTTCGAGGCCTGAAACTTCTTAGTTCCAACCTTTATGAGAAAAAAAGAAGCTATATCAATCACCAGTAGCTAATCACTTAAGCAATTATGGCTACATAATAAAGGTTCTATAAAACTCCAAAAAGACAGCTGTCTACAGAATTCTAGACAGCTGAGCACACAGAAGTTCCTAGAGGGTATCTATCCATAGAGGACACAGAATCTGTGCCCTTTGTCACCCATCTTATTCCTTACATCTTCCATCGTTATCCTTTGCAATAAACCAATACAGAAAGCTCTCTAGCCACTAACTCAGCCTGAGACAAAGACAATGGGAACCTCTGATCTACAGTTGACTACCTGGATTTAGGACTGGAATATGGAGTAAGGGTTAATCTCAAGAGGCGGTGTCCTTGACATCTGAGAATCTTACACCATTCTCTAAGCAGTGCCAACATTGCATTTAATGAGTGGAAGCATTGTTAATGCTTGTTGGAGAACTGATCACTGCTTTTAAAAGGAAACACCCACCTTTTGGGGTCATAGAAATGTCCTAGGTTGTATAACAAAGGAACAAGAAAATTGTCTTTTGTTCTGTTTTGTTTTTCACTCCCACGGAGGTGATTGAAGTAATGAGCCATGGATTTGTAACTAGGCAGTTAAGAATGAGGGTGGAGTTTGGAAGTCCCACAAGATCAAGGATGGTATACCTGGGGATTCTGCCTAGGTGGGGCAAGGAGAGAATAGAGACTTCAAAATTAGACTCTTTCTGGGGGATTTGGAAACTGGGGATGAAAAGGAACAGCTGTGGCCATAAGGAAGGAAGATGATGGATAGTTGGAAACTCTCATTGGAGGGGACAAGTTCATCATTAGTGGGCTCTTTGATTATCAGCAGGAAAGCAGTGGTAGACAGGACTGAAAGGACACTAAACTTTAGAAAGAGTGATAGGGAGTGCCTGGCAATGGGGAGAAATGGGAAGTATGGCAGGCAAAGTCACATGAGCTTCTAGCAAGGAGGAATACTGAAGAGAGATAAATAGAGTCTGGAGGAGGCAACAGAGAGAGAAAACTCAACCTCATAGGGTAGTATGAAGAGGCCCGAGGCATCATGGGTATCTCAAGTCTGAAAAGCAATATTCCAAGAGAAAACGGAAGAGGGAATGCTGATTACAGAGTGGGAGTTTCAGAAGATAGGGTCTAGAGATTAGGGGGAAAGGGGGGAGACTTAGGAAACTGATTCTGATTTGGAATCTTTACTTGTATGGTAAGACACAGGTGAGATGCTCCAGTCATTTAAATGCTTCCCAGGCAAACATGGAGACCTGAGTTCAGAACCCTGGGGCTCACCTAAAAAGTTGGGAATGGTGACATACAGCTGTAACCCCAACACTGGCATGGGGAAAATGGAGACAGGTGGATTCCTGGAGCCCACAGCCCATCCAGCCTAACCTAATTAGTGAGCTGCAGGTTCTGTGAGAAACCCTGTCTCAAAAAGAAGGTGGAGAGGAAGACACTCAATGTCATGGACACACATATGCACAAAACATATGTACAAAACAAAATACAAATAAAATTAAAAAGTAGGACAAATTTGGGAAGGAAGAGAAATAAGAAAGTAATTGAAAGCATGATGAGGTTTATATTTGTTGAATATTAAAACAACTTGGAATATGAAGTATGTATTAGTTACCCATTGCTACTATAACAGGTTATCACAAACTTGGTGACTGAAAACAATAAAAATGAGTTAGCTTATGGTTTTGGATGTCGGAAATCCAAAGCAAGGCTAGAATCAAGGTGTCAGCAGGGTAATGTTCCTCTGGAATGTAAGGAAGAGTCTGTTTTCTCATGTTCTCACACTTCTAGAGATAGCCTGCATGCTTTACCTATGTCCCTTTCCTTCATCTTTAAAGTTAGTTGTTTCTCTGGTTCTGATCCTTCTCCCTCCCTAGATCCCCAAATGGACTTAGTAAGTCAGAGGTGGAGGCTAGGATTTACATTTTTAACCAGCTCTCAAGAGATGTAATGGTGCTGCCAAGCCCAGGATTCACTCTCTGGGCACTCCTATCCTAATATGCTCTGGCTTCAAAAGTCCTGTGAATTGAAGTCATGTGTTTGTTGTGTGTCTCTTATTGTGATTTTATTTTTGAGTCAATGTACAAGCCTTGGGGCCCATCTTAAATCCCAGCTACTTCATTGTTGGACTATGTGACCTTTCTGTAGCCAAATATCTGTATCTATAAAGTAGATACTTTACACTTCATAGGAAAAGTTGTGGCTATCCAGTGAGTTAGCAACATAAAGACTCCTAATGATAGAAAATACCAGGAAAGAAGAAGAAAAAGCTGTCTTCTAAATGGAGGAGATGGGCTGGAGAGGTGGCTCAGAGGTTCGGAGCCATTACTGCTGGCCAGAGAACCCAAATATGGATCCTATCACCCTAGTTAGGCAGCTTACAATGTTATGACCCCAGATCCCTTGGAGCCTCCATGGGTACCTGCATGCACACAACACACACACACACACACACACACACACACACACACACACACACACACACACAAACAGAGAGAGAGAGAGAGAGAGAGAGAGAGAGAGAGAGAGAGAGAGATTAAAATAAAATAGATCTTCAAACCAGAAGTGGTTTTTCAATCTTGAACTTAGTTATACAAATGGTGGAGATGAAAAGCCATGGTAAGCAACAATTGGGAGTCACAGCCACCCGAGAGACAGGGGCTGCAAGAGATATGTCTAGTGGAACACAGTGGGGACCACCAAGTTGAAGTGGAGTAGGAGAATTGCCTCACAGGAAATACTAGTTGACTGGCCCCAAACTAACTCCTAAATATTAGGAATAAAAAGAGCAAAAGGATTCCTTCCAAATCCTTGATCTAGCTAATTGATTTGTCTCAGCTAAAGGGTGGTTCAGGCAATCCCCATTCATTTCCCTGTCTTGGAACACTGAACTCGGAAGCAACCTTTTGAGCAGACACAGAGAGAACATCTCCTCCCACGGACAATCTGTGCTGGTGTGCAGTTCTGCACAAGGAGTTTTCCTTAGCGCCTGAATGCTCGCTAGGGTCCTCATGTGGCTGAGAGTGTGTAGTAGGACTTCCCAGGAGGAGCCCTTTCCACATTCAGAAGAGCCCAGAGAGCACCAAGAGAACAAACCCCAAGAACATGGAAAGACGAGGCCCCTGAATGTGCCTGAGGTTTGGGATTTTCAGTGTCTTTCTTGATTTCCTTGACTATGCTTCAGTGTCTCCCCAAATGACTTTGCCATATTGCAGGAGACAGGTGCCTCACCACGTCGTTGTGATGTGCAGCAGCCAGAGGCTGTGCAGTGTCTTCCATGCAGACTGTAAATTCCCTTATAGGAAAAGCTAAGAAAACAGCCACTCCTGTAAAGTAAAAGATGATGTCACCACAGGGCTGTCCTCTCTCAGTGCTGGTTGTTGGCAGCTGCCAGATGGGCCTGAACAAGTTGGACTGGAAATGAGCCAGAGCACCCAGAGCACACTGAGTATAAGGGAACAGAAAGGGGAAATGGTGAGGCTCAGGGTACTCATATGCCTGGATGAGTATCTTTGAGCAAGCTGAGAACGTCTTTCCCCTGGGGCTTCCCAAGGTCAAATAGGAAGAGTTCAAAAGCTGTTATAGCGGGCCCAGCATCTCCTCCCCACCCACAGTACCCCCGCATTGGGAATGGGACAGAGTACTTTTGTTCATGCAGCTGAGCAATTGCTCTCCCGGTTACAGCCTCATCCTGGGGGCCAACATCTTGAGATTAGCAGGTAGGTAACAGACTATCTTGTATGGGCTGCTTCTCTGGGAATCTCTAAACTTCCTCTGTCCATGATCTGCTAAGAAAGTTATTCTCCACTTTATAAATTCCAGATCAACCCTGTCCCTAGAAGAGGGGACAGTTTTGTCTTTGATTTCTCTGCAACCTGTCTGCTTTACTCTGTTCTTTCCACAACCCCTGTCTCTGCTGTGGCTTTTGAAGGGTCTGGATTTGCTGCACCTGAGTCCCTGTCTCTCTCCATGGGGTCTTTGTCCACTGTACACAGGGTATTCCAAGAGCACCCAAGATCTCAGATGGACATCTACCTTCTCTGCTCCAAAGCTGAGCTCAGATGTTGAAAGGATGGAAGCAACATCTTATCCATATTCTCTGCTGGTCCCACTTTGCCACTGACTCCCCAGGTTGAGAGCTGCCTCTTCCCATGCCACTGTGATTCATGCTTTGACTTCCTCCTTGCTTGTTTGCTTCTATCCCTAAATAATGTTCCTGTCTTATGAGTGAGGTCTCATGTTTGATACTGATCCAATAAATGTATAATGATTGATGATGACTGCCTGAAGGCAGCATGTGACTTCATACCCCAATCTTGCAAGTCCTTTGGTAACAGAAAGGAGTGACAAGTCCATGCTGGAGGCAAGGCCACGCCTCAGTTACAGCAATGGATGGACATAGAGAGATGAAGGCCACCATCAACCTTGGAAGGAACTGTTCTCACCTAACCAGTTTCAGACTGTGACTTGTGTACTAACCTCATTCTACTGCAGTTGAGTAAGAATCTTGTGGGGCAGCCATGGCTTGGCAATCACTGAGTCAGGCTTTCTCTATCTTTGTCTCTGTGTCTGTGCCTGTCTGTCTGTCTGTCTCTGTCTCTCTGTGTCTCTGTCTCTCTCTCTGTCTCTCTCTGTGTCTCTGTCTCTGTCTCTGTCTCTGTCTCTCTCTCTCTCTCGTTTTTTCAAGACAGGGTTTCTCTGTATGGCCCTGGCTGTCCTAGATCTCACTCTGTAGACCAGGCTGGCCTCAAACTCACAGAGATTCACCTGCCTCTGCTTCCTGAGTGCTGGAATTAAAGGTGTGTGCCATCACTTCCCAGCTTAGGCTTTCTCTTTCTTAAAGCTTCAAGTTCATTAGACAACAGTAAGATTAGGACCCAGCATTTTTAAAGCCATACCTCAAAATGATTATAACTAATAAGACACAGACTCTTTAGCAGACACTGACTATGAAGACTGCCCCAGTGCTTATTG